CGCCTATTCATTGTATAGACCAAGTCGTATTCTGGGTGCCACTACGACTTTTAATGGTGGTAGAGCGTGGCGTATTCCATCAAGGGGTTCATCAGCAGCGATGTTTTATCTGTTTACCCTTTGTTTTACAGGCGCAGTCGTTGCCATGAACTAAGAAGTAGTGCCTGGGATTCGACAAGGTCTAGAAATATGCACATTATACTGCCACGTAAGCAGCGCGGCAATTCATAACCTTGTGCATTTAAGAAACTTTTGACAAGGGTTTACAATCATTACTTTGGTATTTTATGTTCACTAGCATTGATTCAGGTGTATTACGAACAACTCGTATTGCATCCCGAACCGCAGATGCGGAGAATCTTAGAGTTCTTGGGCCTTCCATGGAACTCCACTGTATTGCACCACGAACAATTCATAGGAAAAGCTATTTCCTTATCAAAGGTGGAACGAAGCTCGGATCAGGTCAGTTATCTTCATTTTTACATCTTTGAACTTGTCTTTACTCTGTGTTTTCTTCGTTAAAAAGTTCCCACAAGTGTTTCATAACCTATTTCCTTAATCCTTTTAGGTTGTGAAGCCAGTAAATATGGATGCGTTGTCGAAATGGGTAGGTGCTATACCTGAAGATGTTGTAAAAGAAATGGACACGATAGCACCGATGCTGCAGCAGCTGGGTTACGATCCAAATGCGAACCCACCAAACTATGGTATGCTCTGTTTCTTATCAGGGGCGGTATTCAATCCTTCCCCCAGGGGTTGGGGGACGAAAATCCCTTTAAATTTTCTCTGTCTTCCCAACTGGGATTGTCCTGATAAAGGGCCTACATTTAATGTATGTATGTATGTCAAAGTAAACATGCATTGAAAATGAAGAAACTACATCGTTAAAAACAAATAAATTTAAAGGGATTTCCGTCCCCCAACCCCTGGGGGAAGGATTGAATACCGCCCCAGATGTGAAGTCGTGCAGAAGCTTCTTCGGTCATTCTTACCGCTCTGCTTTCGTAGGTACACCTGACGAGTTGGTGGCAAAGAAAACGGAAGACCTTCATAAGAATGGTGAAGAGTGGTACAGAAAAGCGGTGATGGTTGTGAATGATCCGAACCGAGTCGATAAACCAAAGCACTAGCAGCCTTCGTAGATTTGATAGGCTGGTTCTGGTTGAATATGGGTATAGCTGTTATTTCGATTGCAACGTGTTTCCTTGTTTGTTGACAAGTATTTCCTCTGCCTTTCGTGAGTTATTTTTTGTGCTCATTCATCCCTTCGAGCTTCAGACTTCTCTGACTTCAAAAATAGTGTAAATAGAAATTTTCTGTATTGGAATCATCGTAGTTTTGGCTGCTGTGGTACTGGTGTAGTCAGCTTTCTTGCCAAGCGAATTGCTAGGGAGATATACAATATACATATCGATTGTGTGCCATTTTAAATGGTGAAAACCTACCACGCGTGTAGATTTTGCATGGTTATGGAATAATCAGTACATCATTCGCCTCTTTTGCCCAAGATATTGCTTGTAATGGGTTGTTCTCTGAGATTGAAATCCCTCGATACAATATCTGCTGAAATCTAGATACTTGACGAATTTTCGGAGTTGGGTGAATGCACGGCGCAGTGCCGCACTACAGCCACTTTAGAATGACCAAATTGTCTGCGATTGTGATATATATCTCCCGCCGTATCTACCAAATGTGCACATTCGTATCGGAGATTCATTATATTGAACTTCTAGAACTTTCCTCTGTCTGATCTGAAATCTTCCATATTAAAGTGCGATTTCTTTTTGTTTCAATAGTTTTTCCGGGTCAAGTTCCACGCAATTCATGGGATTTCGTATAGTATTCTTGATATGTAATGTTGACCTACTGTCTGTGATAACATTTTTCAGAACTCAATAAATGTGTTATTATTTACCGTAAGTAAAGAAGTACAATGTCTAGGCCTAAGTACTGGCAGGTCAGGGCGCGACGACGCGCACGTTCGCAGCATGCTGCGCGATAACCTTGCGCGACAGTTAATCCGAGTACTGTATTCTCTTCGCTTACCGCGTCATGAACTAATGGAACTAATGCCTAAACCCATTTCTCTAAGACTTGGGTACCTCGGGTATACGCCACCGCGCCACGCCTAAGGCAGTTTTTTAGCAGAAAAGTGCGTAATATGCGCAAAACACGAGTGTCACGAAGTTTGAACTGCAGAAGGCGCGACATCGCACTCTGAACTGTTGGCTCACGCCCATATTTACCTTCCCTTTCAAAAAACGAGAAGAGCGTCGGGTGCAGACCATACACCACAAGTGACGACGGCCTCCAAGTAAATCTGGTTAGTAGTGGTTCATAGTGATTTTTGGTAAATGATAGTTGTAATTAGTGACAACTGATAGAATACAACTGCAAGCTAATCATTTCATTGGCAGAAAACATTTACATTTTGTGGAGGCCGTCGTCACTTGTGGTGTATGGTCTGCACCCTGCCACCCCGGACCATCACCACTGAGCTATTACGCTTCATAACTCCGCTCGGAGAGTCGTTTAGCAGATTTGGAAGGC